CTTATAAGGATCTTCAGAGGAAGCAGAAAGTACTGAAGTTAATTTGCAAAAGTTATTTGTTTTATAGACAAAAATGTGGCAAATATGTGTAATTATCTTAAACATAGGAAAGGTGACTTATAAAAATTTTGAGTTATTTACACATAAAGTACAAATAAAATGATTATTCATATGTAATCTGTTCTCAAATTTGGGTTTTACTCAAAATTAGAAGTACTGTGAATACTAAGGTATCACATGGTATTTAATAATATTAATAGATAGCATTCTCTACTCTTTTATAATACCTGATGTCTGTTCTTTAATTCAGCAGACATTTATTATGCAGTGATGGCATAGTCAGCATTTTATTAGGTGCTGTGGAATATGTAAATAGCAGACAATACAAGATTTGTCGTAAGTCAGGTTTCTGAGAAGCAAAGCCTAAAAGTGATTTGAGTGAGGGAGTGTTTCTTAGGAAAACCCTAGAAGCAGGGGAGTGAAACCAGATTGGGTAGGAAAGGGGAACTGAGCAAGGATGTGGTCTCAGGTAAAGTGTAGCTCTGGTCTGATCCACAGATGAAAACCATAGAACGTGCACTGTACTTTAGAATCGTTCCCTCCTGGAGGCAAAAGGGCTGGTTCTCTGTTTCCTGTATGAGAGTCAATTACTGGCTATGAGGAGGCCTTGGGAGGGCTCACCTTCCGAGTGAGGTGATTCTATCCAACCTAGGGATATTCTTCAAGGAGGAGGCAGCTGCAAGCCATGAGGAGCTGGGAGAGAGAGCACCCAGCCTGCCAGAGGGAAAAGGCATGAAGTAACTAGTGCAAGACTTTTCCTTGGCTGTTTAGTCTCTTATCACCCCGATAATCCCAACAGACATGTTTTTAAAAACCATGATATCATTTCCATGTTTCTCACCTACATTTTAATATTGCTTCGTGAACTCTAGTGGTACCTTCGACTTTCTTCACTGCATTTGTGACACTTAGGCTAATGTGATTGTTGAATGGAGTCAGGGTCGCTCAGAGTAGTTAACTTCACTAACCAAAACCTTCCAATGACCTCCCGGATCCTTGAGCATGGCCTATCGTACCCTAAAACTCTGGATCTCTAGTACTTTACTGATATTCTTTCCTGTCGCTCACTACTATGCCCAATACACCCATTCAACTCCAGTCACCTTAGCCTCTTGCTGATTTTCAAACATGTTAAACACGCTCCTGCTCAAGGTCATTGCAATTGCTGGGCACTCTACCTGGAACATTGTCCTTGTCCAGTAAGTTTACTCACTTCCTGCCTGTAGGTCCCTAATCAAATGTCATTTTGCCAGTTGGACTTTTCTGATCACACAATCTAAAATAGCTCTCCACTTAAACACATTTATCACTACCTGAAATATTATATACTTTTTGATTGGCCGATTGGTTGTCTGTCTAATCAAACTAGAATATTAAGCATATGCATGAGAGTAAGAACACTGTTCCATTCACCACTGGTTCCCTTACACCTAGAACAACGTCAAGACCATAGCAGATACTCAGTGAATATCTGGTTAATGAATAAATAGGTGTTGAAGGAGCAAAAGAGAGAAAATACTCTGCAATTGTCACAGAAAGCCATGCTGAAATGACTTTTGTGCTGAGACTTTACAGGTAAGTACAAGATTTACAGGTAGGAAAGTAGATGAGAACTTTCCAAGCAGAGAAAGGAGCCAATGCCTCTGAAGCAACAAAGCACAAATGTCTCTGCAATTCTTTGCTCATGCTCACTACTTTGGAGAGTCCATCAGTAATCTCAATAGTGTTCTCCATGAGGATACCTCTCAGATCTATATTCTACTTTCTATTACAAGGCAGCTTGCTGGATATTTGCAGTTACATGGTCTTTTGTCATCTTAAAATAACACTTTCTAGATTTATTCCTGTCTTTGTGGCTAAGGTATTAAAATGATCAGAGACACCTCATTGTCGCTCGTCCTCTTGTCCTATCAGTTAATAACTTTTATTGATTTTTTTCCTTATAATATCCTTTATTCTTTTCATACCTACTGCCATATCCATATCCTAATATGTCATGCTATCGACTGGTTTGTCTGACTCTAGACTCTTCTTTTAATTCATCCTGCCCAATAGTGCAACATGAACAACTCTAAATTATACTTTCACAGCCTGTCACACAATAAACTCCTGGGGTTATCTACAGTGTTTACTTCCAAAGTCATAGCCTAATAGTCAAGGCCATCCAGGACTTGGCACCGACCAACTTCCTACTTTGTCCTCTTTCTTCTTCTTTCCTTGAAATCTCAATTTTTTTCACATACACTTATCTACTCTTGTGCTTTTGCCCAGTTTCCCGTCATCCTGGAATGCTATCCCATTCCTACAGTATAAATTTAACCTATTCTTTCTTTGAAACCTGGCTCAATCTTCCCCCTACACACAAGTGCCCTGACCAGTTCATTGAAAAGGATCTTCTGTGTATTTTGAACATCTGAAAATTTCATCTCTATGATTCATTTGGAAAGTAATCATGTATTTCCATGGAATATATTTCCTTTCTTTTATAGTAAAGCATTATTTAAGTTTATTATTTTCATTTGTCATTTTGCCTTTTAATTTCCTGTTTTGCAAGAAGATTTTAAGTTCTCTTTGGGTCAGGGATTAAATCAAGGTGCAGGATGGAACCTACTGCCTAGTCTCAGCAGGCCCAGGTCATCTTGTACAATATTGTGAAATTAACCTCCCTTAATAGGTTCTACCACCCACAGGATCATAAGATTTAACTTCAGTAAATATTTATACATGTTACCCTTTCTGACTAAAAGTTTATTTACTACTGTTTTACATATAAAATTCCCACTTAGCCTTTAAAGATTCACTCAAGGAACAGAATCATTTCAAGTAAGATGTAACTAACCTTTCTGTGTTAACCTTGTGTTAACCTCTGCTTCTACTTCTGTTGGCTCAGCACCAGGAGGTTACTTTTGTTACAGCTATGACTTTATGTATGAACAAAGATTTTGAATTGCAGGAATTAAGAACATAGGCTTCAGATTTCGACCTGGATTTAAACTTGACTCTGCCTCTTTATTGCCTTTATGACCCAAAACAATTAGATGTGATCATGTGTTGTGCTCACTTCAGTTCCTAAAAATAACTTTGTGGGTGAATGAAACCAACATGTCTTGTTTTTGTCATCCTGTAGCTTCACAAAAGCAAAGTGGATAGATTCTTTGGTGTTCTCTTTAAGTTTAAAGGGTGTATGTAACCATATAGAAACTCAGAAGGAAATGGATGGAGAGGGTGTTGCAGATTGGAATAGCTACTCTAATTCTTCAGGGAAAACACTCTCACTTTTGTTTTACATAATTTTGGTCTGCTTAATTTGCATAGCTGTTCTCTTGTCTTTCACTTGCTTATCTGATAGCAGTGTGTGGTGGTTTTCTTTGCCTTTTGAGAGCTCTGGATGATATCTTCTTTCATTACAAAACTTCCTTGACAAAAATAGTATCAAAATACGTATTCATATTTAATGTTAGAAGAACAAAAACTGGAATAGTGTTACTCACCTGGCAGTTACCTTGCACTTACACATTTATTCTCCTAGAATATGTCAACATAGATAATGTTATTACGTTTTATTTTTTTGTCATATGATTTCTTTATCTTTTGAGGAATGAACGGCCAGCTTCTGTTATCCTAGGTAATACCCGTTTCTTCTAACGGTGTACAGCTCTAAAAATATTTAACAATGCAGTAAATATTGTTAACTGAAAAAAGGAATACTTCATTCAGCAAATTTAGTTTGAAAGACTTTATTTATATTTGTCGTTTAGAACACTTCTGCCTTTCAATAACAAAATCCCTGACTCAAAATGACAAATGACAAGGAAACAGTGTTGTCACTGCAATAGGAAGGCTTCATTCATGATGAGTGTCAGGCTTGGTTGATTTTTTTTTGGCACAACAGTATGATCAACTCTACCAGTTCTTTTTATTTCTGGTCTCTGCCATCATAAACATTTGCTTCCTTCGGGACGGATGCAACATTTCCAGCCATCAAATCCAGAAGGAATAACAAAAGGAAACAAAGAGATCATTTATTCCTTCATTCTCTCCTAAGAAATAGCAAAATTGCCAGAAACCACTGACCAAACTATTTCTCCCCCCACCCCCACCCCGTGCCTCATTGGTGAGATTTTGGCCTCATAACCATTGCTGGGCCAATCAAGTTCACTCCTTGGAATGCAACGGGACAGATTTCCAAGGCCAATCTCATAGTCATGTAGTCTATGCAGTAGCACAAGAACCTGGGCTTGGAAGAGTTCCATTCTTAGTTTAGTATACTGCTAGTATCATCTTGAAAGTCTTAATCATTTTTAAACAAGGGACCTGCGTTTTCATTTTACACTGGACCTCACAACATTATATGGCTGATTGTCCATATTCCCCTGAGGTCATTAGCTATATGAGGCAGGGATGGCTAGTACTTGTACGTCTCCAAGAAAAGAGAATGGAGGGGCGGGGGTGCTGGGTAAACAGCCAGCAGGTTTTAACTCCACTCATTATTTGACTTTAGAATGGTTTTAGTCCAATCTAAATCACCGAGAGAAACAACAGTGAAATGACCAGTGCTACACATATTAGAAAATTAATTCCTCAGGTTAAAGAAGCCACTGAGTACAAACTAGAAATTGGTGTTGTAGTGGAGGATTTAAAGGGAAGTGATTAAGAGTTAAGGCATGTCTTCTCACATTGTTGCTCCTGATATCACCCCAAAATCATAATTGACCCGATGAAACTGATTCTCCTCCATCGATGCCTACTTCCCAAACTTAACACATTACCTTCTTTGTCCTCATGCACACACAAACACACACATTAAAAATTTTCAATGCGCCCAGACCAGCAGAGGCAGCAGCCGGAGCAGCTGCAGCCTGCGCCCTCTGCTGCCCGCCCGCCCGCCCGCGGCGGGGGGGGGGGGGGGGGGGGGGGGGGGGGGCGGGGGGGGTGGGGCCCTCGCCTTCCCGCCCGCCCCTATTGTTCCGCCCCGGCCTCCCGCCCTTCGCCTTCCCGCCCGCTCTCCTTTTCCCCTCAGTTACCTCGCGCCTGCAGTTTTTGGCTTTCACCCCCACCAGTGACCAAAGACCTGACCACTCAGAGTCCAGCTCCTGAGAACACTGCTCAACATGGACACCGGTGTGATTGAAGGTGGATTAAATGTCACTCTCACCATCCGGCTACTTATGCATGGAAAGGAAGTTGGCAGTATCATCGGGAAGAAAGGAGAATCAGTTAAGAAGATGCATGAGGAGAGTGGTGCATGTATCAACATCTCAGAAGGGAATTATCCTGAGAGGATTATCACTTTGGTTGGACCCACTAATGCCATCTTCAAAGGTTTTGCTATGGAAGAGGACATCAGCAGCTCTATGACCAATAGCACAGCTGCCAGTAGACCCCCAGTCACCCTGAGGCTGGTGGTCCCTGCTAGTCAGTGTGGCTCTCTCATTGGGAAAGGTGGTTGCAAGATCAAGGAAATACGTGAGAGTACAGGGGCTCAGGGCCAGGTGGCAGGAGATATGCTCCCCAACTCAACTGAGGGGCCATCACTATTGCTGGCATTCCGCAGTCCATCATTGAGTGTGTGAAACAGATCTGCGTGGTCATGTTGGAGACTCTCTCCCAGTCCCCCCCGAAGGGTGTGACCATCCCGTACCAGCCCAAGCCGTCCAGTTCTCCAGTCATCTTTGATGACTGCAGGTGGTCAGGACAGGTACAGCACAGGTAGCGACAGTGCGAGCTTTCCCCACACCACCCCATCCATGTGCCTCAACTCTGACCTGGAGGGACCACCTCTAGAAGCCTATACCATTCAAGGACAGTATGCCATTCCACAGCCAGATTTGACCAAGCTGCACCAGTTGGCAATGCAACAGTCTCATTTTCCCATGACGCATGGCAAGACCGCATTCAGTGCAGGTTTGGATGCATCTGCTCAGACTACTTCTCATGAACTCACCATTCCAAACAATTTGATTGGCTGCATACTCGGGTGTCAAGGCGCCAAAATCAATGAGATCCGTCAGATGTCTGGGGCACAGATCAAAATTGCGAACCCAGTGGAAGGATCTACTGATAGGCAGATTACCATCACTGGATCTGCTGCCAGCATTAGCCTGGCTCAATATCTAATCAATGTCAGGCTTTCCTCGGAGACGGGTGGCATGGGAGCAGCTAGAACAATGCAGACTCATCCATAATCCCTTTCTGCTGTTCACCACCACCCATGATCCATCTGTGTAGTTTCTGAACAGTCAGTGATTCCAGGTTTTAAATAGTTTGTAAATTTTCAGTTTCTACACACTTTATCATCCACTCGTGATTTTTTAATTAAAGCGTTTTAATTCCTTTCTCTGTTCAGCTGTTAATGCTGAGATCCATATTTAGTTTTATAAGCTTCTCCCTGTTTTGTTTTTGTTTTGTTTTGTTTTTTGGGGGGGGATTTTTGGCTCATGAAATTTTTTTGTTTGTCATGGAAATGTAAGAGTGGAATATTAATACATTTCAGTTTAGTTCTGTAATGTCAGGAATTTTTCAAAAAAATTAAAAGATGGACTGGAGCTTTTTCTTTGTGAATAGAAAAAAATTTTTTTTCAATGCCTCTTATTACAAAAGAAAAGCGGAAAATCCTTAACCAATATTACAAGGGCCAACATGATTTTGCCCTCTACATCTACATTATGTAGCACTTCTTGCTACTTCAGACTCTCAGCTCTGGCCAGCTGGGCTTTTCAATTTCTTTTGAGCTCCATGTTGTCTGCAGCTTAGGAATCTTTGTCATGCTATTCTGCCTGCTTCCACTTCCCTCCTGTCCCGTTTATCACAACAAACTTTTATTCATACTTAAGATCAAATTTGGAGTCATTTCCTCAGAAAACTTTCGCTGCACCCAATTCCAGATCCAGTTATTTTGTAATGGAGCCTATAGAATTATATTGCTTCCTTTCAAAACTGGTATCTCAGTTCATATGCACACTTTTATCAGTATCTGCAATTTGTAGATTAATAGCAAGAACGCTTAAGCCCAGGAGATCAAGGATAGCAATAAAAAGCAGTTTCATGAAGCTTTTTCAAAACTTGACTCAAATCCTCTTAGAACCACTAATGGGTAATATGCAAAGATAGAATTGTGTCACATGCCTAACTAGAGATTTTGTTTGGTGAGGATGTGAGTTAGTTAACTAAGCTTCATAATTACATTTAATTGGTATGTCTGTTATTCACTCAAACATACAGCTTTTAAGTCACTTATTTTTTTACTTGAACATATATAATTGCCTGTATTGATTTAAACAGGAAAGCAACAAAACTATTTGAATACCCTGATTCAGTGACAGATCTATATTCTTTTGTTTAAATGATTTCTAAGGTACCTTGAGGATTCTTTTAAACTCTAACCTTTAACCTGACTATTTAATTAAATGCTTTCCAGTCATTTCATTGTTTTTTGAATCTTCTTGCATTGCTTCCCAAACTTAAACACTGAAGTACTTATGAATCTGATGGGCTTGAGATGCTTCCTAATGAAGTCTGGAGGGCAGATTTTTATTCCTCTCTTGACTTTTTGTCCTTCATTAAAGACAACTTTGAATTTATATTTTCATTAGGCCTCTTTCCAAGTGTTATCAATTGGTTGGTGATCTGATTACTAATTAAAGGTCTGGAGTTCAAAATAGAGCTGCAGATCTTAAAATGTAGTGTGTGTGTGAGTGTGTGTGCATATGTGTCTGTATCTGTGTCTATCCATATAATATATACATAAGCACACACATTGGTGACTACATTGTTTTTTAGAACTCAATGTATCAAATGCATCCATCCATCCATTCATTCATTCATTCACTAAATAATTATTGAGTATCTGCTATGAGCCCAGGTACTCATTTAAACCAGCAGTCCCCAACCGTTTTTGGCACCAGGGACCGATTTCATGGAAGACAAGTTTTCCACGGACTGGGATGGGGATGGTTCCGGCAGTAATGCGAGCGATGGGGAGCGGATGAACCTTTGCTCGCTTGCTCACTCACCACTCATCTCCTACACAGTTTCAATCCCCTCTTTTCTTTGATGTTCTTCAGTCTTGAGGAGGAATGGGTGTGGAACAAGGAAATAAAGTTTTAGATTGAGAGGTTAATCATAAACTTGACAGAGGAACTCAGTTTTAGTTCTGTTTCTGTTTCAGTAACACTGTCATTTAATTTACATCCTAGTAATGGAGACAGATAATGACAAGAAAATAAATAAAATATGTGCTCATAACAGTATATGTATAAGTGTATAACAGATAATGTATAAGTGTGATAGTTATACAACAGAGAACGATTGAGATAAGGAAGAGAGTTGCTACTTTATGTAGGGGGTCAGGGAAAATCTATCAGAAAATGTGATATTTGAATCAGACAAAGACATTAAAGCTGTTATTATAACTATTTCCCATATGTTCAAAAGGTTGAATAAAGGCAAACACGATATAAAAAGACTCAAATTGAACTCTAGTATTAAACTACAATTTTTGAGGTGAAAAAATAATCAGATTAGGCAGCTTAGACTTTGCAGAAGGAAAGATTAGTTAACTTGAAGACATCGCAGTACAAACTATCTGAAATAAAACACATCGATAAAAAAGAAATTTAAAAAATAAAAAGCAAAGTGCATCAGTAAGCTGTGGGACAACTTCAAACAGCCTAATAGATGTGTAGTTGAAGGCCCTGAATGGAGAAAGGGGAAAACTAAAAAAAAAAAAAGAAAATATGATATTTGAGTTGTGACCAAAATAATTAGAAGGAATGAGCAAGATGACAATTTCAGAAAAAAAATTAGCTCAAAGTAAACTTAATTTAGCTTTGAGGTAGGAATTGAGTCCACCTTTATATAGGTAGAAACTTTAATTGGTTGGGAAATATTTTCTAAATCCAAAAATCTTGGGCTTGTTCTATTTTTATTTCCTGCTTTGTGACTGCATGAAAGGGCAACACCTGGCTATTACTCATGAAGTCAAGGACTCTTCATACTTCTCAGATGAAATTTTTGTCCTGCTTGCCTCTGATTGACTATGCCATCTTGTTCAAATTACTTAACTTCTTGGATGCTGTTTTAAAAAATACTTAAAAGGTTTTTTTTTTTTTTTTTTAAGAGAACAATCATTCTTGTCCTGTTATCTTGCCAGAGGGTAAATTTGTAAGAGAAACTGTGTAGAGTCATATTTAAGGAGAAGATTTGGGAACTGGATTTGTAAAACTGGATTTGCTTGTGAGAGCTTAAGCAAATTACTTAGCATTTCTGAATCTCAGTTTCTAATCTGTAAATTATGGGATAATGGAATCCACATCAGAGCTATTGTGAGAATTAAAGGAGATAATTTATGGAAAGTATCTGGCACATAGGAAGTACTCTCAATAAATCTTAGGTATTATTACTATTAGTCAGAAAAAGTAGTGACCGTGAAAGTTCTTTGCAAGTGAAAGAAACTCTATAAACAGAGGCTATAATTACGTGTTTGGTAAGTAGTCACACAGTAATTATTGGGTAGTGGCTTTAAGCATTTTGCTAAAGAATAGTCTTTATTTTTTTCTTAATTTGTGACATATTTTGAGTAGAGAATTGGGCTGTTTTAGAAACATTATAATCTACCATAATTCACCACTGTTTTTCAAAATTTTCTGTCCAGAAATAGCTTTTTCACTTGAGATATTAGACATGTAATAAGTCACCATATTTGTTATCTCCAGGGAGGTAAGTATTCCTTATCCTCTTATGGAGGGATGAATGTTTTCATCTGGCACTCTAATCTTAAAGAGACAAAGAAGTATTCCCTTCCTTAAGCACTGTGTACAAGGTGAACGAAGATAAATAGCAAGGCCACAGTGAATAATTATATACTAAACGAAATGTGCAATTATTAGTGGTACTGTTTTACTTTTAGCAATTTAATTGTCTACCAGAAGACCATCCAAATATACTACATTATATTCTCTGGTTTTCTACTTCTTTGCCTACTGAAGCTTTTATAATGATTTACATTAGTAATGGCCTTTCTCCAGTTCACTTAATTTAATCATCCTCAGTTTATTCTTCCTTTGATGGAAAGCAATTAAAGAGAGTGTAGAGTTCCCCCAAATGACAGCCCTCACCTCAGTAGACCCAGGTGTATGATAGTATATACCTCTCAGCTGTGCAGTTGCTCTAGAAGTTCTGTCCATAAGGTAGGAACGATAGATTATAGCCCTACCTTAAGGCAGGAAAACAATCTTGTCTTGCAACAATAAGAAAACTAATGCAATAACAGTAATAGCAGACATTTCTCGGACACTCACTATGTGCCACATACTCTGCTAATCTATGTGGATTTCCTCACTTAATCCTGATTTCCAAACTATGAGAAAGGAATGTGTATGGTCCTTTTTATATAAATGGGGAAACAGGCCCAGAGAGCTAAGGTAACTTGCCATGACCATGTAGCCAGGGTCTGTTGGTACATATCCAGACTCAGGAGTCTAGTCTGACCTTGGAAGCTGTGCTCTTAACCACCACTGATCCGTATAAGCCAAATGATGTTATTCTCCCATGCACAACTCTCCGGAACTTTCTCTTAAGACTTCACAACTACTGGCCTCAATGTCCGAAACCCTCTTTTTCCCAGGTATTCATATATTTTACTTCCTCATTTCATTCAGGTCTGTGCTCAACATGCCATCTAAAAAAAGCAGGGCTTCCCTGGTGGCGCAGTAGTTGAGAGTCCGCCTGCCGATGCGGGGGACACGGGTTCGTGCCCCGGTCCGGGAAGATCCCATGTGCCGCGGAGCGGCTGGGTCCGTGAGCCATGGCCGCTGAGCCTGCGCGTCCGGAGCCTGTGCTCCGCGGCGGGAGAGGCCGCGGCAGTGAGAGGCCCGCATACCGCAAAAAAAAAAAAAAAAAAAGCAGCCCCTGCCACTCTATCTTTTAGCCTGCCTTTTTTTTCCTTCATAGGTCTTTTCATTACTGGACACCATATATTATCTGTTTAGTTAATATTCTTTCACTGCACCATAAAGATCTTGAAGACAGAGAATTTTTTTGTACTAAAACACTGTAGGATCTCAGTAAATGTTGAATGGAGAAATGTATGAATAGATATTAAATAATAAGCCGATGAGTAACAATATTAAGTACAGTGTCTGGCACAAAGAAAGCATTCAGTAGAGGTTGGTTCATTTTTTATAATAAAAAATATAGTAATAATTATCATTATCAAAAGTGATGAGATGAAATAGAGTATAAAGAAAAACGCACTATTTTGAAATCCTCTGAAGAGACCTAAACAGCTGAGGTAGAGCCAATGATAGAGATAACTTTGCTAAAGAAAAGAAATAGCCCCTTATTTTCCTGGAAAAGGAAGAAAAAATATTCCAAATTGAATCTATTTTTTTAAAAATTATCAATAATTAACAGTCACTTCCAAATTCACATCATAAACTCTAGGCACAGAAGGAAACTTAACACGTACAACATGTTTTTCCCGGGAGTGGAATTTTAAAATTTGAAGTATATCAGCCCTAGTTAAAAAATATATTACACACTTTATTT